GGCCAGATTTGTACTTTACTTTGTATTAACTCATCATTGTTATTCTAAAGGGACTTAGTCCCAGAATAAAGTTTAATTTTCTATTCTAAGTATCTTTTATATTACAGATTAAATGTGAAATGGTCAATTGTTTCACATAAAAAAAATAAAGGTACTTTAGAGGAAGCTAATATTGAAAATTAGCCATTTATGCCATGTAAGAGAACATTATTCAGAATAAAACTACATTTTATGTAAAATTGCTTAGTTTTACACTGATATAATGAATTTTATCAAAATCGTTAGAGCCGTTTTCGAGAAAATCGTAAAAAAGTATTTAGTTCATAATATAAAGTGCCACTTCCAGTTAGCCGATTTTGACGAAAATGTTGCTGTTACATCCCTAGTATATAAAAACCTTAAATATGCAATTTCACTTTATTATGACTTTTTGTTTTTGGGCTAGATTGTTAACACAGACACACAGACCATTTTGCGGGACTTGGTTATTTGGACTCGGGGGTCTTCAATACGTATATTTCCCTTGAAAACTGAGATTCGAAAATTTTCACGATCGCAATACTTTCCTTTACTGTATATTTCATATATAGGTAAGTGAAAGTAAAAACTCATAGAATAAAAGTTGTAGAGCTTAAAATCCCGCTTTCATTGAATAACAACAGTTGTAATATAGGTCATTTACTCCGATCGAATCGGGATTTGTTATTTCTTCATGAAATTGGTTTCTTTTAATACCTCGTTTCTCAAAATGCTAAGCTGTAGTTTATGAAATTTGTAGTAAGCCATCGATATGGTTTATAACAATAATTATATGCTGTTCGTGCCCACCCCTTCCCCAAATGCAAAAACACGCCTAAGAATAAAATGAAACAAAAAAATGAAAATAATTAAATTGTCTAGGATGTTTTTTTTAAAGATCTATTTATTTTGTTTTGAGAAATCCAAAATTAATAATTTCTACACATACTATCGATTTAAAGTTTAAAAGAATCGAAAGAAAACCTTGTTGGATTAGTTCTAATAACCTTACAGGAAAAAAACAGTGCACCTAGGCTTGATATTCTCGTGTGTACTGTTAATTAGTAATTGAACAATTAACTTAGGAAATAAGTTAGTGCTTTCAATCACTTTCAATATATTCATAACTAACAAATTAATTTAATAATTTCTCTAATGATTTATGTTCCCTTTTTTGGAAGATAAAATAGAGAAATGTTTCATTAAGCACTCTGCAAGTAATCCAAAATTTAAAATTACAGAGCCTTATTCGAATTTTAAATGGTGATTCAAATGTAGCTATAGATATATTTCTGTTGTCCCTATTGCTAAACTCAAATTTTAGTTAATTTAGTATATTAACTTTTTCATAAGTGAAATCAATATAAAATTACAAGGTTATCTTGAGGTAAAAAAAATCAAACAGTATCCATCAACAAAAAAAAAATTAAATTCAACTTAATTTGAACATTATATTAGGTTTTTTATATAGGTTTTTTGACAATTTTGTGAAAACTCAATACCAAAGAAACAATAATTCAAATAGAAAAACATTAGGGCTAATTAATTAATTAAACATATATATTGATGAAAAGATGCATATAATAACTTTTAGTATAGAATTTTGTAACTAACCACCTACAATATATATATATTTTTTAAATCAAAAATTGTCAGAAGATGAAAATAATGAAGAGTTTCATATTTAAAAAATAATAATCAATAGTCTGCATCCATAATTTTGTTTGCTACCTTATTTTTTGAGATGGTATATCAAAAACTATAAGCTAAAATATATGTTTTTGACAAACCCATATGGTTGTTAATGATAGATTTCCAATACTTACCAATTTCACAGCTCATATAGATATTTCTGGCTGTCATTCAACAAATTTCTTTTTATCTTCAAATATCTGTATGATTTCAACTGTTAAGTTAAATATTATAGTAATTATTAACATAATTTATCAAATGTTGAAAGATTCTTTGGAACATGCCCAGTTTTAATTAATCGGGGACCCTTTGGTGGGTCAATGAAAAACAAAAAGAAAAAAATGGTTGTAAATATGGTTTTTAATAGTACATGTCTTATTATTTTTAAGATATAGGGGTTTTAGAGAATGTATTTTATAAACTTAACTTTATTAGCTTCTGTACTGTTTGCCATCAAATGTTGAGGTATATTTACTATTTGAAGAAATAGTATACTGGTCTAGAAGAATTAAGTAAGTAAACATGATTGAATGACTTAAATTAAGTAAACATGAAACAATAAGTCAAATTAGTTGTATTAACTTTGTGTGAGAGATAAAGCCATAAGTTACCTATTCTAAATAGAATCTTTTATTTTGAAATCTGACAGAAAACCTAACTATAAAGATTTCACTTTATCATTCTTTGTTAATTAAACTTTCGTCCTATTTTGAAAAAAAAAAGTATCAATAAAGGGCGAATAAGAATCAAATTTCAAAGACAGCTTTTTAAAACAATAATCATCTTATTAAGTATAAATTGAGAGATAAGGGAACTCTCCTGGAGTACATCTAGCTTCTATTAAGTTAGCAGGCTTAATTGCGTTGAGCGAAGATCCTTCATATTGTGTTCAAAAGGGTTCTATTTCATTTGCCTCAAACCCATAGTATCACTGACCTGGCATTAATTTGTAAAATTATACAATAGACTTGATATTATTTTCTGCATTTCATCTACAAATTTATTTGTGAATATAAGCTTATTATTATCGAATATAGGATTCATAGCTTTAAAGGTGATATTACTTCCTAAAATTAAAAAAAAGAATGTACAACTTTCAAACTCTTTAAAATAATATGGACGATACTTTATTAATTTGTTATTATAGAAAGTGGAGGAAGAGCACCCATATCCCTGCACCATGCACTGATACAAACTGGCATCCCCTCCAATGAAATGTGTGTGTGTGTTATACATGTATTTATATAAATACATGATGTTAAATATTTTATACAATATAACAAATTAAATTCAATTGTTAATGGGTCCCTTGAATTCTGGTACCAATATTATAGATCTAGCAATCATAGGTGCAGACTATGCGGGCATAGGGAGAAGGAAAGAGAGGGATGAGAATATCGTTTTTCCCTTCCTCCTCCAATAATATAAAGGGGAAAAAAATCATTATTGATTACAAATAAAATACATTAATGAATAAAATATTAACTAAAACTAAAATGGATTAAGAAAATTCGACTAGCTGGCTAGCCTAAGGCCTATAAGTAGGTAGATAATTATTTTATCATGACCCAAATATTCTAATTATTTAAATTTTCATTTATATTCAGGGATGATTATATAGAAACGTTTCATAGGGTTTTATTACTCATTTACCTCTCATGTGTACACCTCCATTTCCACATGATTTTGTTATAAACTTTATGCGATAAATTTGGAAAAAATATATTTAATAAGTATAAGTATGAATATATTGTATATAGAATATTTTTATAGACTTTTTACACAACTAGTTAGACTGTGAATTGTATTTTTATTTTAAGGTTTTGAAGCTAAGAAATCAAAAATATTTTTCGGTTTTTCAACATTATTCATTTTTAGCTGGAAAAGTTATAAAAATGTACCTATGTCATGAAGGTTGTCTCCCCTCTTTCCATATTTAATGAATACAAATTGTAATAAATCCAATTGTTTTGTTTAGATATTTTCAAGTATATCCAAATACACATAAAAAAATTCTACAACTTCCAAACTAATATATGTATTATATTTGCTTTTTTCGCAATAATTATTTTGAATTTTTGCACAAAATAAAAACTACTGACTCTTTTCTTTTCTCTTTTAATTTTTTTTCCCCTCTCTTCCCTCCCCATGTGGATTCTCTGAGGGAAGGCAAACACAAATTAAATATAGTTAAAGCATTGTCAACAGTAATAAATAACCTATAAGAGTTAAAAAAAATTGTTAGAGTGATAGTCAAATTAATTGTTAAAAGAGAAATTGGGTTTAAAAATAGATAAAAATGGTCCGAAATGCTTTCCACTTGTATGAATATGAAGTATAACTAATAGTATAAACACATTACTTCCTGAAATTAAGAAAAAAAGCTAAACACTTCGAAAAAAAAATTAGGAACACTATGATTTTTTTAAAACTTTTTTTTGCTTTAAGTCTTGTCAAGGCAGGTCCTATTTTGCCAAATACTTTATGATTAAAAAATATTTTACTTTATCTAGTTAAATAGTAGCTGAAAATAATGAATTTCGTTCAGTCTTCATTTTTAAATTTCCGTATTGATTCATATCAGTGAGAATAACGAAAATCAGATAGAGAAACAACAAGTATACACCACAGATGGTTCTATGGGTGGCTTTCGGGCTGAAACTCCCCAAAGTGGTAAAATATAACCATGTTGTATGAAAGATATACTAAACAATTATCTCTAAAAGTAATACTATTAGTAATTAAATTTAATAGCATTTAAAGAATCAGTTGAACGCCATTTCATATAGATACTGAGTTTATTTCTTCTTCCGAAGTAATAATCGTTATATACATTTTTAAAAAACCTTTCGGGCTGAAGTCCCTTTCCCCCCAAAAAATTAAATCCTGTATCCTCTAGTGGCATTCATTGATAAGACAGAATTTAAATTGGACTAATAATTCTAAAATTTAAAGAAAATCTGTCGCTAATAGTTTTTTTCACAAATCTGTTTATCTTTGTTTGTTTTCTTTTTTTTTCCAAGCCGGAAGGAGATGTAGCTGCGCCACCTGGCACTCCCTTGGATATTATGGGCGTACGCAGTGGCAGGCTAAATTATTTGAAAAAAAATTATACAAAAGTTTTGCAGAAAATTCGAGAAAATTTATTTTTTTAAATCGTTGTTTTATGAATATATTGTATTTCAAATACAAATGTTTATAAATTCTGACAATAGTAAACTTCCGAAAAAGTAATTTTCCGTATTGCTCCCCCCGCCTCCAATACGAAAGCTGCGTACGCCCTTGCTGGAAACTCTCATGTATCTCTATTTAAAAATAAATTATAAATGATTTGAAAATACTTACTTAAAATTAAATATAATAATAAATCCGTTTATTTTCTCATTTTATATAATAGAACCACGCGTAATCCGTGGGAATCTGTAATCTGATTTTTCAAAGTTTCTATTTATAAACTTACACTATTTAAGTTTTCTCAGTAAAGAAAAAATACGCTTAAAAATGAGCTAAGTATGCATCTAAATCTGTTTTTGGTTTTACTTCCCGCGTAAATTAAGGGACATCCATAATCTTATTGTTTTTATTACACTGTTAAATTATTGAATAATTTATTATTAGATACTAATATTTAGATTACTTACTTTACTTAACTAAATTTGTTTAAGTATAAAATTGTAAAACCAGTCGGCCTTCATGACCTAAAATGTGTTATTTTGACGGAATGTTTTCGAACTTAATCAATTTCCTAATGTGTCTGTTTTCTTATCTCTTCGTATCCTAGATAACCAATCCATATTATGACAGTAGGCTGATAATAGGCCGAATAATTTTCACCAATTTTATAATACAATTTCGTACACTATTTTTCAAAATCTCCCGCTTCATCTTTGAAATGTAGTAGGTGGGGTTGTGAAGTGTTATTTTTAGAGCGTTCTGTTTATTACTTGTCTTGGCAATGAATTTTTTCAGGTCAGTAGTGGGATGCGTGGACCTCTTGTCGCATATTTCGTCTCGAACTGAGATTGTCACGAACTGGGTGTTATCTTCACTCATTGATGGGTTATGATATAACGTCAATTGATAACTTCCATCCATGGAGCAATTCGCTATCGGCGCTTTTTCTGCCGTCTGTGCCACGATTGTGACGAATCCTCTGGAAGTAGTGAAGACCAGGTTCCAGCTCCAGGGAGAACTGAGAGCTAAAGGACGACATGCTGTTCACTATAAAGGTTTTTTCCATGCCATGTACACCATCATCAAGGCAGATGGATTCCTGGCCTTACAGAATGGTTTGGTACCATCAATCTGGCATCAGATATTTATGAATGGCTTCAGACTTGGTGGTTTTCATATTGCTGAAGAAATGAAACTCAATCTGAAACCTAATGGTGAAGTGTCACTGCCCAAGACAGCTTTGGTAGCAGGAATCATGGGCTCAATAACTGCCTTCACTGGAAGTCCCTTTTTTCTGGTAAGTATATTTTATTTTATTTTTCTTAAAATTTAAATTAATCTTTATAGATCATTCTTAGGGAAATATGAACATCAGCGATGAATTATGCCACCGCAGTGCTGACAATACTGTCTCTCTAAAGGTACAATTTTGCTGGTACTGCCCACCACACCGACTGCTAGCAGTTCAGCACTGCTTTAGTGGAAAAGGTAATATACCGATGGCAGTAAAATAGGCTTCTTTCTATTCCACTTAAGCTTTGCTCAACTGCTAGCAGTTGGCGTAGTGGGTAGTACCAGCGAAATAGTACCTTAAGAATTTTGTTATTCAACAAGAAGGCACTTCTGATAATACCTGTGTTCCATGACCCTTCAATTAACTTTCCTAGGTCTGATTTATTCATTTTGTTCAAGTGAAGAACTATAGAAATCCATTTCATTTTCTTTTAATTTCAGATTTTTTATGTTTCCAAAATTTCTGTTTTTTATTAGTATATATAAATATAAAAGTTATGAATATGATAATAGCCAGATATGAATGTTGGATGATGAAATCTTGGGATGTGTTGATTCTGTGAATGTGGTATGTCTCTGGCAAAAATACCATGTCATCTTCCAAAAATAAAATGGGGTTCACCAAAATCTATGTATAAAATAAGCTACCAGCTCCTCTGATATTGACATGCACCTAAAATCTTTTCAATTGTTGTAATGCCCATTATTTATTTTTATTAGATTAAAAATAATTGTTTTAGTATTCCCAATGAGTGCCATAAAACAGGTTGTTTAAATGTTATTTAATAATAAAAAAAAGGTATTAATTATTGTAATACTGTTTTCAGAAACGAGTGATAACAGGAGAAACCAAGAGGTAAAAGGTGTAAAATATAAGAATGTAAACTAAATTTAGAAATGTGTATTAAGGAAATAATATTTTGTATTTGATCATTCAATTATTATATTAAGTTATAGAGTCAAAGTGATATTTTTTAAATCTGTTTATTTTCCTTAGTATTTATTTATTTTAAGATAGTTACTAGTAAAATGAAGCTCCCAAAAAGGAAATGACCCTGGTTGTATGTTATAGATAGTTGAATTTATAACAACTTTTAGAACTAATAAAATTTCTCCCCATTTCAAAATAATAGATATTTTAATATTACTTATTCCACTACATTTTAATTATCTTTCAATGAAATATTTTTATTTACTGTGAATCAACCAAATTAATTTCAGGTAATTAATTGCTTGAAAAAACAATGTGCTGGTCAAGAACAACATGAAAAATTAGTGAAACTATTTAAATAGTCCATTTGAATATTTTTTTGTTAATCTTGACTATCGCTGTCTTGAATTATTTCTATGGTCAACTGTTCAATATATTATTAATTTTTAAATTTTATTGTATTGATAATAGATTTGTTATAGAATGTCTGAATGATAGTTTACTCTACTGTTAATGGTCTAATTGCTCTTTTATTTATTGTACGTAACTATACTTGTTTTGTATTAATTATTCTAGAACTATTTGAAAAAATGGACAGAAGCTTGTTTACTTGTTCACCTTTTGTTTATCTTATGCAAATAATAACTAGTCAAATTTCAAGGATGAACCAGATTCTATCTCACCTTGTAGTCTTAAAAAACTTTTTAAAGACATTTTTTAAATTTATTTTTAAATGTTTAAATATATATAAGTAAGAAAAAAGTAAGAAATGTTTAAATATATTTATAAACTTCAATTTTCTGTTAGAGTTGTTAAATTGAATTATTTTTATTTCAAATAAATCTTTTTTTCTTCTGAGGTTGAATTCTACAAAAACAGGAAAAATAATTTTAAAAATGATTACAAGTATTTGGTTTGCATCATTAACCAACAAAATTTACATATTCATTAAACTTATTAGTTTACATTCTTGTTCTTTCTTAATTATACTTTATTTCTCTCCTCACTTTGCCCACATTATAAAAAACAATAGTATTTATAATTGACTGCCGTAGATATATTAAAGAGAATTTTTTTGGGGTGTTAAGAAAATATCAAAATAAAAATAATTATAATTTATTTATTTTTACTTTATTTTTTGACTGAACATCCCAACAAACTCTTCAAATATTTATATAGTATTTATTGATTGATATACAATTGACTGTTGAGATTGTAAGGATGAAAAATGGTCAGAAATTTTTTGACTGCACATTCTGATCATTTTTCATCCTTTATAGTAATTATTATTTAGACATTTTGGGGAAGGTTAGTCCTCTTGGTTAGAATATGTTGAAGAGGGGAACAAAGTATCCCTGAAATGTACAAATAATAAAATAACTATAAAAAAATTTATATTAACATTAATTTATGGGGAAATGTCTGACATTTCCCTGATAAATAAGTAGTTTACTCGCAAGAATATATGATTTAAATATCAGTACTGAGTTGGCAAAAAAAAAGAAAAAAAAAGAAGCTATGAACCAATCTAGGATGTTGTTTGTTTAGACAAACCGTTATCCTGTCTCAGATTAGCAAACCATACCATAAGATAGGAGTACTGTAATTGAGCAGCTACCAAAAGTGGACATCTGCACTTTGACCGAACCTGATATTTTAATCAGGTCTAGTAGTTTCCTAAAGCTGTACCTAATGCTTGCTCAATTTCTGTTACAAATAGTTTTTCTCATAGAACGACTTGTTAAGTGGACATGGGAATGTTTTTGTTAGCAAACTCCTCAAGCGAGATATTTTTATTGAGGTATGTTATAGTAATTTTCTGATATACTCACATATTTATAATAGATAAGAATATGCTCTAATGAAATAAATCTTTAACAAATCTTTAGTCGTTGATTGATCTTTGTTTGGCGTGACTTGATGGTCCCAAAATTAAGGTAGCCAATTTTTTGAACCATATAAGCCAATATGTGAGGATTAATATTGTTTATTTTAAATCTATTAAATGGACTACATCTTCCCAATTTGGGTAGAATAGGTTTTAACTGTCAGAATAACTTTTACTTTTTATTAGTATAGAAATCAACAGTTATGTTAAAATAATTATTCATTTTGATGTGTAGGTCAAAGTACAGTTGCAATCAAAATCAAGCCGTAGTATCGCTGTAGGAACCCAGCATGAAGCAAATAGCATGTTGTCTGCATTTTCATCTGTTTACAAAAATCATGGTGTAGCTGGTCTCTGGAGAGGAGTCGGTGGTTCCGTGCCTCGGAGGATTGTAGGATCTTCTTCGCAGCTTGTAACTTTCACTGCGATGAAGGACTTCCTTGCAAATAACAGTGTAAGTTATGTTATAGTATTATACAGGTGATTGTTTTCATATTTACTCCTTTGTTGTTTAAACTATATTAAGATATTTAAACTATATAAGCAGAGTATTTCCCAAGATTTATTATGAGTGAATTTGAACAATAAGATTCTACAATGTTCAATTACAGAATTCTCATTCTAACAGCATTGAACCAATTGTCCCTTGCTTAGTTCTTTCTCCTTTCTCCTTTCCGCTATGTTCTAAGTTATTCGAAAAACTATTGTACCCACGACTATTACATATACTAACAGACAGACAGATTATTCGTGACCTTCAAGTCGGGTTTCGAAAATTACATTCAACAACAAAACAATTGCACAGGGTGACTGACTACATCTCTACAGCACTAGAGCGGAAATTATATGTAACCGGAGTATTTCCGGATGTTGTCCAAGCGTTCGACAAAGTATGGCATCAGGGGCTTATCTTCAAGCTTAAGACCATACTTCCACATACTTACTACTTAATTCTCCATTCCTTTCTCTCAGATAGATTTTTCTCCGTTTGACATAGTCAAGGTCTATCCTCAATTCGATCAATTTTAGCTGGTGTACCTCAGGGATCAATCCTAGCCCCACTACTGTACATCACATACACACACGACATTCCTCAAAGTATCCACACTCTTACAGCAACCTACGCAGACGACACTGCTATCATTATCAGGCACAACAATCCTACAGAGGTATCACTTAACTTACAACATCACTTACAAATTATACTCGATTGGTGTAAACTTTGGAAAACTCAAATAAATTATCAAAAGTCACAGCGCATCACATTTACTCTACGACCAGAAACATGCCCTCCTGTATACTTAGACAACATACCAATTCCACAAACAGACAGAGTACAATACCTAGGCCTTATATTCGATAGGAGAATGACATGGGGTCCACATGTGAAAAAAAAACGAATCACATTAAATCTAAGATTAAAATTGTTTTTCATTCACTGTTAAGACGACATTCCAAGTTAAAAGCAAGACAGAAACTAAGTATTTACACATATATTTTAAAACCTCTTTGGACTTACGGACTACAAATATACGGAATTGCAAAACCAACTCACATAAAAAAACTTCAAACTTTTCAGTCTAAGATACTACGACTAATCACTCAAGCACCATGGTACGTAAACAATCACACTTTACACACCGACTTACACGTTCCGACAGTCAATGAACACATACGAACGTACTACAAACTATTTCATAACATGTTAAACGGACACTCCAACCAGCAGGTAAAAGAAATGGCCACAACTAGTATGCCGGAGAGCTCCAGAAGACGACTGAAAAGGGTCTGGATGAGGGATCTGCTTAAATAATGTTAGTAAATAAAAGCCATGGAAGGGATACCCCTGGGTATTGCTATTCCTCATGCCTATCAAGCCTTTTTATTTATTATTTATTTTATTTTTTCTCTCAATACTATGCCAGCACATCTGCTGATTGTCGATAATAATTGACAGGTGCGGATAAATATATGTAAGTGAAAAAAAAAAAAAAAAATCTTGGAAACGGGGCTTTTTCAATTTAGTGATCTGAAATCTTAGTCTGTTTAATGAAATACTAAAAACTTCTGAACACCCTTTTTTTTTCTCCGAAATAATGAGGCTCTGTCAGTCAAATGGCCCAATATCTTTGTAGGTTACCTCATTTCTTGATTTTGTGATCAAATTATCTTAAGATTCAAATGGAAAGCAAATGGGTCATGAATATTTGGTACTTCATTACATTGATTAATTTAATGAGGAAAAGCCCCATTTCTGAGAATTTTGATAAATAAAAAAAGTTGTAGGTTGAGATAAGATGAGGCCATTCTATTTGATAATAAGGTTAATAATTTGATAATAAGGGGTCTGTACCATGGACTACGAGGTTTACTATTCTGTTTAATATCTGTTTAAATATTGCCCATCATTTACTGGAAATCCCGATATTCTATTCTATTATATTACTGACATTGATACAGAAATGATTGAGTGTCCTATGGTTCTTGCAATAGATAAAATTAAGCAGACAGGCATTAATAAAGGACACTGATTTTGTTGATACTTAATGTTAACTGAATTTTTTTCATTTAATATTTATAAAGTGATTCGTCAAAATTAATTTTTTATTTCAATTAGATCATAATGTAATTATTATAGTATATCTGTTCTATGGAATAAAGACATCATGAGGCAATATCAGCAAGGGGACTCCGGGAGGAAGATTTTTATGATTAAAAGAAATGGCGACGGGGATTATTAGGTTACGACATATGACCTTAAAGTATTGTAAATAAAGTTGTGTTTTATATATATACATATATATATATATATATATCGACATGCCCCTTCCCTATAAACATTCAAAAACCTCCTATTCCAATTCCTGTTTCAAAAACAGTCAGATACCAGCTAACTATTAATACTATATATGTATTGTATAGCTATCATATAATCATAATACTTGATAAGAGATAGTACATACATTTCCTACTATCGACGTAGGAATTTCAATATACATTTTTTTTTTTTTTATTCAATCATAATTAACTGTTTATTTTTATATATATATTCAAGTAAAGTTTTTTTTTTTTATGAAATGAACTCATTCTATCTCTTTTTCGTTCTTCATTTCTCAAAGTGTATGTTTATGTTGTTCAACCCTTATATATTGTTTTGTTCATAATTCAAGTGATTCGTTCATAGTTTTAATTGTTTTGTTCATAATTTTAAATGCTCTGTACATAGTTTTATCTGTATTGTATATAGCTGGTGCACCTAAGGTTTTCTTTACTTTTTATTTTATTTTATCAATTTTATTTATTGTTTCAAACGTTTAGGCCAGTATTATTCTATTATTCTGTACATTATTGTTATTCTGAAGGGACTTAGTCCCAGAATAAAGTTTTTTTTTTTATCTATCTATCTATCTATATAAACATAACCTAGAATGAATCATTACACTTATCTGACATGCCAATGTACTTTCATTTCTTTAGGTCTATAAAATCCCCAAGGGTTACTTGAATGCTTTTGTTTCAAGCCTGATTGGTGGAATGGCTGTTACAGTTCTCATGAACCCTTTGGATACAATATCTACAAGGCTTTATAACCAGGGTAAGCTTCTCATCAAATTTAGCTTCTCTGCTTTGTATTATATATATTTTACTTTATTTATAGCTTTGTTTTGAATGTTTACTCTATTTAATCTAAGTATAAATATTTAGGATAAAAGGCTTCAAGTTTATAAAAATGACTAAATTCATTACTGGGTTCGTTACCAAGTGTAACTGCTGTACTTCTCCATCATTGATTGTACATTTCCTAAATAATGGTTAGTATAAATTGTAGAATATGAAGAAGTTTTTTTCTTGCAATTTGTGCGTTTTTATGCATAATTTGAGAAATAACAGTAATTTGTTTATTACTTAATGTAACAAGATTAAGATATAGGCTTGCACGTCTTTTGTTGAGTGCAGGTTGGTTTTGTTTTTTATTTTTATTTTAGTGATACAATTCAGGAAACACCGCCACCATTATCAAACGTTGACACAGTTTTATACCTTTTTGCAGATATAGGTACTTTAAAGTTATAAATATTCTTCCTTTTTTCTTACATTCTTTCTTATACAGTAGGATTTTATTAATCTAGCCTTATATTGGAATTGGTAGTGCTAGGTTTCTGAAATTCCAGGTTAGTAGAGGCAGGGCTGCCTAGAAGGGGGTTTCATGGCCCAAGTTGTGTCATCAAAATTTTTGAGGAGGTTGTATTTTTACGGGTTTTTGAATTTTTGAGGAGGGAAAATTTTGATGGGATTATGAATTTTTGAACTAAGGGACGGGAGGAAAATATGGAACAGACCGCAGCAAGTGTAATTGCATATGATCTACGATTTTTCTAATTCTACCTTAGCTTGCTCCGTTTTTAAGAAAAGATAAGCAATAAAATATCTTACGAGGAGTAGAGGGAAGCGAGTAGAGTCTTGTCCCATCGACCTTGGGCAGGATGGGCATCCATGAGTAGAGGTACATTTAAAAAAAAATCTGTTGCTACATCTGGTTAATTAATCATTTACTTTATTCTTTCTAGTAATTTTAATGATTATTATTGTTCATCTTCTCTAAAATCTGATATTTTTTTTCAAGAATGGTAAACTTTGATTTTGCTAGAATAATGCCTTCTCCCCTCTCCCGAATACTTATTCTTATCTTCCAAAAAAATTATTAAGGAATCGTTTGTTGACTTTTTATTAATAGAACACTATTACAGATTTTTCAAGATGAACAAAATTCATATTACTACAAAAACATGCTTCACTTATTTTGTTCAATCGCATGTGATTTATATTTTAATCACCACTGAGTCATATTTTTGTCTAACAGCACAGTTGCCTTAACTTCAAACAAGCTCATATGCAGTTTGAATACTTACATTAATTTAATTTTTATTGTTTGATTTTTTATTTTGATTATTTCTTGAATGATTTATTTTTATAATTATTAGAAATAGTCTAACTTCTGGTATTCCAAAATATTGGTCATGGCATTTGGAACTTTCAGGGTCACCTATGGGTTATTCTTGTTAATAGTTTAAGCCTAAATCCTGATACTTTTTTACTAATGGTGGGTAAAAACAAAACTAATAATATTGAATATATATATCAAAAACTTTTTTTACAATTTAAATAATAAGACTTAAGTATTTTCACCCAAATTAATATGTATATTATTATAATTTACTTTATCAATTTAAAAGATCAAAAGATACATTAAAATAAATCCTGGTTCACAATTCACATGCCTGACCTACAATGCCGGAAGCTGTATTTGGTGATTGATTACTACGGTTCAGTGGATAACATAAAATTTTTTAGTAGATTAGAGATTAAATAAAAAGTAGTGCATTGAAATATGGGGTAAGCGAGTGGGTTAACGCATGTGAACAGTTGCTACCTGATAACCAAAGTTATTAAGGATAAAATAATTACGAGTTCGCGTCCTGGTGCCAAGGTTTTTTTTTTTAAATTTTAGCATCAATCCCCTACCCTCACCCCCCTGGTCCGGGAAACCCTATATAGCCTAAAAGGCAAGGAAGGGGTGTACGGAAAAAAAAGGTGTACATTAAAATATCAATTATTAGAGTGGACCCACCAGTTATGGACAGAGGGCCCAGTGATGGATAGATTTAACTTTAAATGTAAATAATAAGCTTTCTTGTTGTTTTAAAGGTTCCAATTTTTTCTAGATTGAAGAGCAATGCCCTCTATTAATAACTGTATGAACAAATTTCCCAAAAGAATATTTTAAAATGCCTATCATTCATTGTTTCTATGGTGCTCTTGAGATCAGTGTGTTTCATACCTTCCTACTAACAGTTTTGCTAAGAATGATTTGAACATTTATGTTATCTTATCTTTATAGTTAAATAAAGATTTTAGAATTTTTCTGAGGTATGTCTATTACTGGTACCGACCCTCTGTCCATTACTAGAACAATTGAGTTTCAGGTTGTCCATCACTAGTGCAAAAAGGTGTTTTTTTTTAATGGAGATTATACCTGCTTAACTGAATAATTTTTCAATTTTAAAGTGTTAAACAGAAAAAGGAGATCCTAGAGATTCTAACTGTCCAATGGAGAAGTTTATAACTAAAATAATTATGGTTGCATAAACCAAAAAAGACAAAAATTTCCTTAGGTCAGCCCAGTTGGTACTCAGAATTTAATAATTAATCAAGGGGGAAAAACCTGGTGGTTGAATGTTATTATGGCCCGATCATCTCCTTGCACAATCGTTGGCCTTGAAACTGTACTTCCTTTACAAAATACCGAACCAAGACAAAACAATCTGAACTGTACAAATGAAAACAAAAAATGTTCAACTGTTTCAAAAAGCAATGGAATGGGAATCTTTGAATTTTCCTAATATGCTGAAATTTTCATTTTAAATTTAGTTTAATTGTACTTTTACTGTTACAAACATGGTTCCTAAACAAAACATCATTAAATATAGTAAAAAATATGAAGCGACAATAAGTACAGAATCCAAAATTTACAGAACCTATGATCTGGTTATTTAAACTTTTTGGAGGAAATTATTATCATTAATTCAACTCAACAAACTCCCAAGCGGGTCTTGGCTTCCTCCAACAGCAATCGGCATGCGTCCCTATTTTGTGCTGCTGCCATCCAATTTCTCACTCCAATGGATCTTAAGTCACCTGCAACACAGTCTGACCACCGCAGCCTGGTTCTTTCAACTCTGAGCATGCCAAACTGCTGTTCCGTTATTATTTTCTTCGGGACAGATTGCTCTGGCATCCATGTGAGATGTCCCCCACCCACCCTAATCTTCCTGCCTTCATAATCGCACTACATCAGGCTCGTTATAGAGGGTATAGATTTCTCTATTTCTACACCTTCTCCATTGGCCGTTCTCACAGGTGGACCCATAAATTCAGCAAAGGATTTTCCTCTCAAAAGCAAGCAGGTCCCGTTCATCTGCCTTTTCGGTAGTCCTCAGTCTCAGATCCATGAGTCAAAACAGGGCAGATGAAGGTTTTGTAGAGGATAACCTTGGTGCATTGCGAGATAAGTCTGCTCGATAGGTGGGAGAGTCCATAATAACAGCGATTCGCTGAGATCATTCTTCTCTGCATCTCCACTGAGATTCTGTTGTCACACGTCACTTGTGCACCAAGATATGTGAATTCTGACAATTTTTCAAACATGCAGAGACCAAATACAACTTTGATACCAATCTGTTGTGGGGACTGATCAGATATCATATACTTTGTGTTGTCTTGATTGACAATTAGGCCGAGACATCTTGTTGCAGGCTCGAGAGCCAGGAATGCTTGCTTGGGATACTGCCTGATATGATCTGCCAACTATATCTATATCATCAACATATGCTAGGAGCTGAACTGTTCTGTTGTTTGAATTCCTGATTATCTGACAGCTTTTTCCAGATGGAGATTAAGGCAGGCCAAAGCATCTACTTGTCTCACTCCTCTTACTGTCGAGAAACCCACTGATCGCTTTCCTTGGACTTGAGCAAAGTATACGATGCTCGCCGTGCTCATCCTTACCAGCCAACAAGTTTAGGAGGAACATTAAGTTTTAATTTTGGAGGAGATAAGAAATTTAAATCCTTAATGCTTGACAAAATCCATAAGGGTATTGAAATGTAATATCCTAAAAAGTTCCTTAGTGTACTTTTTGGTTCCATGTATTGAAATTTTATGCCATATTCTAAAAAAAATTTCTAATAAAAATTCAAGATTTCTAAAAAAATACTTTTTTTAAGATTTCGAAGTGTATGAAACTGTGTATAGGGATTCAACTATATTTCATTTTTATTTACCACATACTTTTTTTTTCAGGAGTAGATAAAAATGGAAGAGGTCTTCTATACTCAAGCTATTTTGACTGTGTATCAAAGATTTATAAAATTGAAGGTTTCTTTGGTTTTTATAAAGGAATTGTACCTTTGTACGTTAGAACTGGACCGCAAACAGTACTGGTTTTGGTGATCTGGGATACAACTAAAAATTATTACAACACAGCTAAGAAGAAAAGAGAACAATTGAACCATTCATAGAGCAGTTCTCAGGAAAATTAGTTAAGTTAAAAATAAGTTTTTCAAACAGAACTAAAGTGTAGGAAATAATATTGCTGTGAGGTAAGCGTTACCAGTATTTTTAATCTTCCTTTACACAGGGAAGTAAATCTGTGTGTAACTCGTCAATAAAGTTCCTGAGAAAAGTGTCGTAGATAAATTATTATTCTTGTTAATAAAAGTGATTAAAAATATCCTTTTTTTTTTATTTTTTATTTTATTCCTTCCACTTTCAAAATAAGTTCAAAGTTCACTAAGTCTTGTGAGGATAACAAATTATTCATTTGATGTAAGAGTTAACAGAAATTCCCAACATTCCAATGTTATGAAGTAGTTTTCTGACTGGTTTTCTGTTATTAGAAGACTGGTTGTCATCTAATATTATGTAAACTTATGGAAAGTCATCGGTGGTAAACAATGTATAGATTTTCTTTTTAAACATATTTTGAATAACAGTGCTGAACAAAACTAGCTAAGAAAGAAAACAAAATTACTTAAATAAGTTTAATAACTAAAATAGGAAGTAGTAAATAAAAGATTTTTAAGTGTTGTTTCTCCGGAGACCCTACTGATAAACTATGATGGGTGTCCCCTCGGGGCATTAGGGACTACAGTTTGATCCCTTGTGTGGCAGAAGCTTCTTGAACCTCCTCCCTCCCTTCTTAGGTCTGCACAAAATGTAAAGATAAAGTCATTGTCTACTTTTTCATTTTGTGGTTCGTGCATTCTTTGAGTTATTTACATTCTTCAGGCTGTTTATGTGCTTTGGTATGTTCATAGTTTTTGGAATGTGATCATACAACAATTGGAAAGTTCTATTTTTTTTTCTTTTCTTTTGACAATAAAAAAGTAAGAGTCAACAGGATGTAGTAGACATCCCCCTGTATTTACTCCTTTAGATGACAATGTGTGAGGGAATGAGAAGGAATATATAATATATAGGAATGTGAGGTTGCACTGTGAATTGTACTCAATGGTGCAGTGGACAAATTGCTCATTGGAAAATCTCATATCGATAAACAATCGAAAAGAAGGAAAAAGGTCCGATCAGGTAGCAGTAGCTGGAAAGGGATGCTGGGCACTTGAGGCAAAAGGACAGATGCAAGAGGAAGTCATCTGGGAAGAGAGGCCTACTGCATTGAAGACCAAGAGTATCAAGACTACAGTTATAAGACTTTAATATATTCATTTATTACAGTTATAAAATAAATTGTTTTATTATACAGGAGTGAAAGTCATTTTATTTAGTTGTCCTATATGCCTCACGATGGAAGAATAACAAACCAGGTGAGTCAATTCATTTAAAGTGTATTTACTAAGTCCCACATTTCAAATATATATATTCTTATTGGTTCTTCTCACACAGTGTCACAAAGGTATTAGATTCACGAATTTCCAATCACAGTTAAACACCCTAAAAAAAAAGTCCATCCAATATCCAGTGCCAGGGTTTTATCTTAATATTCACGAGTGTAAATAACCTAAGTTCCTCGATATATAAATGGAAGGCTATTTGCCTATTCCCGCCAAAAACAATCATTTAAAATTAACTTTCAGTAGGTTATTTACAAGGATCTATTTGAAAATTGGATTTGTCTTTAGTATGGACTAGTCATTTTATTCAACAAGAAATGTTTTATCGAAAAGCCATTATTTAATTGGATATGAAAAAGAGAGGAGTATAAATAATACAACCATTCGTTTTAATAAGTGTAAAATGGTATTCATTATGTTTGTGAACAGGGACAGATGAAAAATATAGTTTATGAACACTCATTGGCAGACATAAAATTAAAAAACTGCTCGTAGACAGATTCTAAAACACCTTGGTAGAGAGATCCATAAGACAAGGTATGATTTATAAAATACATGTTAGGCTACTCGAAGTTCCAAGAGTTACCAGGGAATTTTTTTGTACAAGCAAATTAAACATTTTTTTAAAACAGCCATCAATGATCAGGTAAGTTTTATCTTATTTAGTTACTCAGCCAACTTAACACTTAGCCAAATGCACGGACGGATCTACGGGGGGGAGGCTTTCGGGCTGAAGCCCCCCCCAAAATGGTAAAATGTAACGTTTCGAGGCACTAGAAAAAAATCAATTCCAAAAGTGAGAATATCATTTGATTGATATTCATATGAATATCATTTCAAGTCATACCATATCAGTTCATTAACGAGCTAAGTTTTAATATTAAAATACTGAATTGAGTTGGGTATTCAAGTTGAAGTGTAGTAGAGTTTAAAAAACAAAATCACTTTTTTTCTTTCAAAAGAGAATAATTTATAGCAATATAAAAAAGTAATGAGCTAGTAAGTATCTAGTAACAAACTCATTTTATCAACAAATGGAGTAAAGTGAACATAGCTATGATGAATGGTATTCAAAGATCTTCATTGAATGGACTGGAAGGCTAATTTTAAATGTTAGCTACTTTTTTTTTTTAATTTATGGAAGTAACATGTTAAAAACTGAAAATGAACAGTGAAATAGATGGAAACCTAGTCCCTTCAATGTAGAAAAATTTAACAGCAACCAGTTAGTATTTAATATTTCAATATTCTGAGAGAAAGCTTAAAAAAAACCAAACACATTTTAAATAATTGTCTCTTTTTATTGCATATAATCATATATTATATATTGCATATAGGATATATTCCAAACAATATCCTCAAGTTCCCAATTTCGTGATTCTTCTATAATTTAGCTTCCCAATAATTTTCAAAGGTCTTTGCCTATGGTTCTGGATGTTTCAACCTAAACATGTGGGTCATCATCAGGGCTGAACATTTTTTTTTATAACAGAGATATTAATACATAAAAGACAGAAGTTAGTTATGATAAATAGTGATGGATGATACATGAGAAGTGGAACACTTAATAAGTTATTTCAAATTATTATTTATTTTTTTATTAAACGCCTCTGCCGTTGGCTATTAGGCCATTCTGCTCCTGGCAACCCAATACAACTCCGCCATGAATCCTTTTCCATACATCTAACTGTACAGCCTCCAATTTATCATTCTCTTCCATCTTCTTTTTATTGAAAAGGTTACCTTGAGGGATGATTTAGCAGCGACAATTATTCCTGATGCAACCTGCCTGGATCTCTGAAGTTTATAAGTTTGATATCCCAGTAATTGGTAGAACTGGATATATTCAGTGGATGAGCCGGCTTCTACGATCCCATATAAATCAGCATCCTCCTTTGTAAGAATCGTCTTCCATTCTGTGAATTTGTCTGCAGTTAGGCCACCAGCGTTCCTGAACATAGCCTTAAGCTGTGTGTTGACTGGACCTTTCGGTTTCCTTAATTTTGATGGATTCATATTTTTGTGGATTCTATGATGTTATTATTTAAAACCTCACTATTATGTATATTATTTCAGATTATAAAATAATATACCAACTTGTAAAATGTGATTGATTATAGGATCCATTACTAGTGAAACATCCGTGAACATACTTATAGTGATACATCAGTATTTGTATCTTCAGCAAAACATGAAAAATTTAATCTTACTCCATTCACCAAGAAAAGAAATTTAACATGTGTAAAAAGAAAAAAATAGTATTAATAAGATTTCAAGTTTTGAGAATCCACAATGGAACATATATACATATTCATAGCATATAGATATATGAAAGAACATAAAAACTCCTCATTTATTTGCCCAGCAGAAGAGGTTGTGTGGTTTAATCATGAGCTAGTCTGATAAATGTCAATGGTTAAAATCAATAATTACTTAAAGAAGATATTTTCAAAGGAAAACATCTTGTGATTCTTCAACTAAGTTTTATCAATAAATGTTCAATCAACTTATAAAATGTGATATTTAATATTACTAACCATGTTTCCAGTACTGGCACCTGAATAGTAGGTAAGTGAGAGAGTCCGGGAAAATTTCTCTCTCTCTCTCTCTCTCTCTCTATATATATATATATATATATATATATATATATATATATATACACACACAGGAATAGTTATATGTTTGTGTTGAAATAGAAAATGGAGGGAAAAATTTGGGCTATTATTTGAGGAGGCGTAAATGATAAAAGAATATGTAATACAGATCTTTTTTTTATCAACTTTATGGTTCACTGGATTATTTTCTTCTAAGTTAATTAATATAGATTCGGAAAGTAGTTGTTTTTGTTAGTTGGGAACTGACTAGAATGGTTGGGTTTTCAAAATTGGATGTGTGGTCTAGTGATATGACTTTCTTGGCTAATTTCGAAGCGAATGGGTTGTGTGTAGAGACGCTATATTTGTGTTGGTAAATTTGTTTGTTGAGATACTTTTTGGTTTCTCCTATATAGGAATAATTGCAGTCTGGGCATGCGATACGGTATATAATATTTGATTGCTATAGGAGTGGAACAGGACCTTAAAGTCTGGTATGTACATTTCTTAATTTACTGTTATTTTTAAACACTATGGGTAGGTGTGGAAATTTGGAAGTTAGAGAATTTTTATTTTTTGAGACAACCGGCCGGGATATATGGGATGGGTCTGTGTTGGCGAATCAAGGTGGGTGGTTGAGAGCAGTTAGTGGGAGACTGGTTAGAGTGAGGTTTTAATCAGGCTGTTTATTATGTGGTCAGGAAAGTCATTTGATTTCAGGATCTTGTATAGTCTAGTTAAGTTGTCATCAAATTTTGAGTCAAATATTGTTATATATATGTATAACAGATATACAGCAGTAAATCAAATTTTTAACTACACTCATTTTTTTATGGTAAGGGTGCTGGGGAAAAATAATTTAGGAGATGGATAGAGTAAGTGGATTTGTTATACCAATTATTCTTTACCAATCATTATTTCTGGTAATTAGATCAAGAAAAGGGAGGGTATTGTTAGATTCTATTTCAATGGTGAAACGGAGTTGAGGGTTGTAGGAGAGAGGGGGGTATGAGTTGAATGCAGAAATGACGTTTGGAATAGTGTGGAGGTTGATTAATGAGAGATCATCTACATATGTTTTAATGAAAAAAATATTGTTTGGAAATTGGGGTAATATTGAGTCGATGAGGTTATTTAGGACAATGTTCAAGAGGTGCAAGGCAATTACCCTTCACTTGGCTAGAAGTTTGATGAAAGTATTTGTTTTGGAAACATAAGTAGCCAGAGTTAAAACATAGTGAGAGAAACTGAAGGAATGGGAATTGATTGGAAATAATTCACAATTATAGTAGTAACTATGACTAATAATTTTTAATTTAAGTGGTAGTGAAATATACATATGGAAAGATAATAACAAATACAAAATTAAATAAATAATAATAATATTGGAGTTCACCTCTAAAAATATATATAATTATTTAAATGAAAATACGGAAAATTTCAGTGTAACATATATGAATTGAAATTATATATAAAATGAAGCACACAGCATTTATTAAAACGTATATCATAAAACAAAGAAAATGTAATTATATCTTTTTTTCAACAATTTTGGGCCTGCATTCTCTGCTTCCTTTTCATCCAGTTTGTTCCCACTCATTTCGTGTGCTTTGTATCTAATTTCATTTGATCTTTTTTCATCACTGTCCGAGTATGACTGTGTGGTAAATACAAGAAATTCTTTTAGGTCAGTAGTGAAATTATCTTCAAAGATTTTTTAAAGGGCCATCATTTGTGCCATCCCATTTTTAGTCTTGTATCCAATTCTTTCTTGTATTTTTTTTTAAAAAGAAATTTCTTCTTCAAGAGGTATGAATTGTTTTGAAAATTCTGTGTTATGTTTGTGATTATTTTAAATTTTAAGTAATTTATTAGTCGACCATATTTGTTATTTTTATCAATCAAATCATTGGCCATTTTCATTTAAATATTTTTATTGATGATAATGTAGATATTAATTGATTTTAATTAATTTCTTAGTCCTAGTCTGTTGGACAGATATTTGTTTCTGTTTTATTTTATTTTTTATTCTCAAGTGATCTAGTTTTCCTTTAATCTACATGAATTCTGAAATGCATTAAATACAGAATGAACAATTACACTTATGCTTGAAATTTTCATATGAGTAGATCACTTCATATATTTTGGTTTCTTTAATAAAAATAAAAGAGTATTATATAAAAGCAAAAATTATCAAAAGGAAAGAACTAATCTTTGCTATCTAAGTCTGAAATATTTCGGAGATGTGAAATTAAATATCATTCTTAAATCAAAGCTAAGATGAGATGATAGATAAAACTTACTTGAAGAATCACAAGATGTTTTCCTTTGAAAATATTTTCTTTAAGTAATTATTGATTTTGACAATTGACATTTATC